ACCATTCCTTGATTCTATGATTCTGTGATAAAGAGCAAACAGTGTCTTGGGGCTTGGAGCAACCTGGGCTAGTGGACAGTGTCCCTGTGCATGGCAGGCACTGGGGGAGGCTCTAAAGGCCCCTTGAACCCAGACCGTTCTGTGGGTCTGTATTCTTGGTGCCACCCTAATGAATGCTATGACTTTCTCCTGCAGTCCAAATTTACTCCAGTGTGTCTAGCACAGACGCACATCGTAACGCATCTGAGCAGCGAACCCCTCGGCGTAAGCTGAATAACTTGTTTTGCCACCGCTAAGAGCAGGGAGCTGCCTGCGTGTTGTGCTGCAGAATGGCAGCTTGACCCAGAGGCTTAGGTATGTTAGTTCTAGCCGAGTCGCAGCCCTCGTGTCCTTGCTGCGCTCAGTCGCTGGGTTCAGCTGCAGACAGAACAATGCTTGGATCAGAACTCGGCGCTGCGAATGACCTGGGGACGTGTCTGCGTTGGGTGGTGCGTGTGGAGTGTCGTGGGACAGAGCAGCCTAACTGCTGACCTCTTTTTCAGATCGTTCTGTGGAAGGTCGATGAAATGGCGGCGTTAATTCACACTTTAGCAGACCACAGCGACGATGTCAACTACTGCGCCTTCTCACCATCGTGCTTGGCTACGTGTTCCTTGGACAAAACCATTCGTGTTTATTCCTTAAGCGACTTCACTGAGCTCCCGTACTCACCTTTGAAGGGCCACACGTACGCTGTCCACTGCTGCTGCTTCTCTCCGTCGGGACGTGTCCTAGCTTCCTGCTCAACGGACGGCACGACCAGGCTGTGGGACGCTGGCGACGGCCGGGTGCTGGCGGTGCTGGAGCAGCCCAGCAGCAGCCCCGTTAGGGTCTGCCGGTTCTCCCCCGAGTCTGCGTACCTGGTGTCGGGGGCAGCGGACGGGAGTGCGGTGCTTTGGAACCTGCAGTCGCTGACACCCTACAGGTGAGTGCCGCCCGGGTTACAGCCCTCGCAGCGCCGTTCCGGCCGCGGGCTGCCCCGGCTACGGGCTGGCAAACTGGCACCCCTGGCTGATGCCACGAACTAAGGGGTAGGATTTAGAAAAGCAGGAGGTTATCAGGAGAGGGAGAAGCTGAGTCTTTTAAACAGTGCAAACTCAGAGCTCTCATTTTTACTGTTACCTTTCGTCAGCCGTATCTTTTTGCCGTGTGTGTATCTCTTCAGCCGATGACTTTGTTGTCATCGTTACCGTTGGCTCTGCAGATGGGGTCTGATTAGAGACTCGGGAAGCTGCTGACTTTGTGCGCACTCCGTGTGACACCTCTGGGGTGAAGAGGATTCCCGGTAGCGAAGGAGAAGGGGCCGGGGTGTGCAGACAACAGTAACAGCGTAACCGGCTGACATTCCCTGCTCTTGGCTGTGGCTGTCATCTTTTCCTGCACTTCAGCTGGCATTAAAGGGGTGAGACACTTCCGACTGGCTTTGGGTTACTGTCCGATAACCTCAGAGGTGTTGGGCTGAGCACGCTGCCTTCCCGAGGACTGACCACACTCCCAAGTCCGTTAGGAATTTCCTTTTGGGATCAGTGTCACAGAGTGCCTGGGCTGACAGTTCAGGTGCAGAGACCATCTTTCGCATTGCTCTCTCCTGCGAGCGCAGGCCAGAATTGACCCCACGGCATAATGCAGAGTGTTCTCCTCAGCCACAGCCTGTCATACGGTCCGTAGTGTCTGTTTTGTCTGGAAAAACAGAACAGAGGAATCGTGGGAGTGTTCTCTTCCCTCACCCCCACACGGGTACCTCCGTGTTACGGCAGCAGGGTATTCATCTCTGGCTTCCAGAGCGCATCCTGCCACAGAATTTTAACAGCGCTTTGTGCCTTTCCAACGGTGAGTCTGTGCAGAGGGACTTCAGTTTGAAACCCACTTGCCAGCGAAGATTCCTGCCTTGGGGTGCCGCGCTCCGTGTGCCGAAGAGCAGGCCCTGGTTCCTGCAGCCGAGCTCTCCTTGCATCTCTGTCCGCAGATGGCGTGGGCTTCTCTCCCGCCTCTCCCCGCGTGCCGGTGTGCCAGACCTCCTGCGCCACACCGTGTTGCGGAGACCACTGCCTCAGAAAGTTACTCGCTCGCAGTTCTAATCCCACGTACCCTCGCTTTTCAGGTCTGGCAGTGTCAAAGATGGTTCTTTGGTGGCCTGTGCGTTTTCTCCTGATGGAAGTTTCTTTGTCACTGGATCATCGTGTGGCGATTTAACCATTTGGGATGACAAAATGAGATGCCTGGGTACTGAAAAAGCACACGATCTTGGCGTCACCTGCTGTGATATTTCCTCCCAGCCAGTTTCTGGTGAGTGACTTGGCTTGTCAGGAGAGGAATGTGCTCAGGCTACAGGTGTCATTGGGAAGAGCCCATGTTTTGGAATATGCTGAATACTCAGGCAGGAGTTGTGGGCGGGTTGATGGCCGGTCACATACGAGGTCAGCAGACGAGGTGATTAGCATGCTTAGGACAGCGCTCAGTAGCTAATTGCCCTGTCAGGCCTTGGAAGATGCTGGGGCAGTGGGTGAGTGAAGCCTGTCTGCCTGGGCTGACGAGGGTGTCAGGAGATGCAGCGCACGATCTCCATCCCCACTTTCTCGTCCTTGAGCTCCCCAGGGAGCAGTCCAGGATCAAAGCAGTGAGTGAGCCGTAACCCGAATAAACTGAAAGCGTGAGCCGCGGGGTGTGAACAGGCAGACTGCTTCCCTCTCCCTGGCTTTCTCCGCTGGAGGAACCTGGGGATCACTGAGCCCAGAAGCTCGCGTCTCCCGCGCAGCTGCGGTGCTCTTCAGACAGCACCTTAATCCTGGTGGTTCTTGTAGGAATTCTGGGACTCGGTACTGGCAGAGGTAACGCTGTTGAAGGTTCGTTATGGGGACTTGGGCCAGGCTGCTGTGCCAGTGTGGTGGAGTAGAGGAGCAGAAGGAATCTGGACTTAAGAATAATAATTTAAAAAATTGGTAACGGGCTGAAACAAGACGTTCAGAAGGGAACGTGGTAGTTCAGCAATGTTCGTATCCGTGGAACAGGGAGGGGAAAGCTGTAAAACTGTTCCTGCTGCCCGTCAGTGCCGTGTTTCCGAGTGGTTGGCTGGACTGCAGCCATGGGACAGCACCTGGTTTTTACAAGTGGAGAGTTGAACATCTAAAATGATGGAAACAGCCTGTCACTCAGTTTTGTGCAGAGTGTGTGGTGAAGTTTGAGAACTGCGGAGCTGTGAAGAACTGGATATAACCATGTACGTTAGGTTAGAAGACTGCTGTTGCACTCAGTAGCTGGAGGAATCAAACATTTACTGTCAAGGAAACTCGTAAAATACAAGCCCAGCGCCGGTCAGATCGGCGTGCCCAGCAGCCGGTGCTCCCCAGCAGCCACGCCTCTTTCTGCCTTCTGAATGGGGTCAGAGCTCCGCAGCGCTCTTACTAACGCTGTCAAAAGGTCGTGCTGAGATTAAGGAAATGTTCCAAATTCCGGTCAGGAGCACTGATGTCTATATGCTGCTCTTTTCAGTGCTTCTGCTTCCCACTAACACCTTTGAATTTTGTCAGATGGTGAACATGGATTCCGACACTTCCGGATGGCTTCCTGTGGTCAAGACAATCAGATCAAACTCTGGCTTATTTCGGTTACAGATTTCTCAGGTGTGTATAGTGATGCTTTCTTCCTATTCCAGTGTCTGAAGTCTGTGGGGAGAGTTTACGCGTAAGGTCAAACCTGGGTTGTGGTCATGGACCCGC